ATATATATACACACTCCGGCTAGATTACACAAGTCCTTTCAAGCACCACATGCGGTTATTGCCGGTTAATGCCATTTAACTCAAGGAAAAACCAACGGTGTATAAAAAAAACGAGGAAAATAGAAAAGAAAGAAGAAAATTACAAAATCGAAAGAAAAAAAGTTCTCAACATCTGATTGCAATGGCTAAGTTACACAATAAGGGTTTTATTTTGGACACGCCCGGTAGAGGGATTTCTTGGAACATGGAGACTGAGGAAAAATCGAGTTCTATTAGACTATATCCTCCATTCTTTTGAATATTTCGGTAAATTTGGATGGAGATAATACTTCGAATAGAACGATAGAAAGAATGGGAGACATAGGTATAACAAAATGAAGTCTCAAGAGCTTTGTTCGAATGGATGGATTAGGGCTGACGTCATCTGCCAAATATTGAGGGAGGTGACTGTGACAGAAGTAGAGGCATTGTTGAACAAGAATAAGCGTGGCCCATATATGGCCCGGGTTGGATATACACGAGAGGTGATGCATGTCCTCCCTCCTTGTGCAAAGCTCTCCACTATGGAATGATCCACCTTGTATTTAAAAAAAACAAAGAAAAATCATTAGAGCAAAAATGAGAATTTTCTTCTCGTAAATTCATACGAGTTCCTTATTTATGATCGTAGTACCTCGTGTCTCTCTATTTGCTGAGCATGCAAAAATAATAATTGAAAAGAGTCATCTATCCAAAAGTGTAGTGAGGGTTTTAAAAGCCGGAATTGGATGTCGGATCGAGCCTCCATTGTACTAATCCTAACATGGATTAGGCCGATTTATTAATGTCCAAAACTTTTGAATATTGTAAAATTAAAATTTAAAGGATTTACCTAGTTTTCTGATAAGACCAGACAATTCAGGCCGATTCCTCATTCAATAAGGGAATGGGCATGGTTTTACCAATTGCAATCTGGATTGGCAATTATGAAAATTCTAATTAAATTTTTTCTTTTTTCCCTTTTTTGCTATTTCATCTCTCCATTTTTGCTTGTATTACTTCTGTTTTTATTTGATATGAAACCCAACCCCTCAACACCATAAGAGGCCTAATTTGAACGGCAGAGATGATCCATAACATTATCAAAATTCAAGATCATCCTTATGTTCGTGTTAATGTCAATGACGGCGAAGATGGGCTCCTACAAGTTTCTTATATTACATGATCTCGCAGTAGTAGACCTCTTTGTTTCCTTTGTTATTACCTTTCGCAATTAATTTTACTATTATTTTCTCTTTTGTAACTATGCTGTGAACTGGTTTTTTAAAATAGGAAATTTATAGAAAATTTCTGCTTTATTTTTAAAATTTAAAAATAGTCGCATATATTTCATATTCTACTTTCAATATTCACTTTTTTAAAGTATAGCGTATTTTAATTTATCTTTTTCTCTATACGTCAGATTGAGGTTTTACCATCATATACTTATAAAAATATTATAAAAAATAATTAAAAAATAATAAATAACTTAAATCCCCTATAATATTCAAAGGTATTTTGGTATTTAGATTTATTTCAAATTATTTTTACTTTTTTTTTTTGTAGTGTGTGATGATGTGCAGTATTAACATGTTAAACTTGAGCTCACTTTGATATACTCAAAAAAAAAAAAAAGATAAAACTTAAAATACACCATATGCTTTAAGAAATATGACTCCAATATAAAATATGAAATGTATGACTATTTTTAAAAATTGAAAATAAAACATGACAATTCTATAAATTTCCCAAAAAAGCATTGAAGGGGTCAAATCATCTCAATTCACATGTGAGGGGCGCTTTTTTATTTTTGGTTCACTTAGATATCTCCTCAAAAAATTTAAACAAATTCCCAATTGCCCTTATTATGGATTTGGAAGTTTGAACAACCAGGTGTATTTCAATAATTTGACCTCCAAGAGGGCCCATCGGAATCACAAAAATACCCTGTTTGTATTACAAAAAAGGAATATACTATTGAGATTTAATAATAAAAAATAACTGGGTACATTTTGTCATTTGGCACTTAAAGATTAGCATGTGTCAAATGATCTAAATGCTCCTAATTGTTCCTCATTAAGAACCTTGGACAATGTATTTCCTTACTTCTAATCCTGAACAAAGTGTAGTATTTTCCATTATTTGGTTAGGCTCTTTTGGAGTCATATTACTGAAATATCTCTAATTATTCAAGATTCGCAACCTTGAATAATGGCATTTTGAAAAAAAATAAGTTTTTTTGAAAGAGATATCTTAGTGAAATGAAAATATATATTAATTTAACCCTTCCTGATTTCAACCCCATAAATGATATTTCTCTTTTTATATGAGTTGGACAAAAGATTTACCAAAATGCGAACGGATAATTTCTCCCCAGAGAGAACTGGAACGGTGCTTCCATAGACTCTTTCAACAAGGTCAGTTGCCTTTGATGATCTGGATGCAAAAAAAAGGTGTTAGTTTAGTTGCATAATACAAGGCTCTTTACCCATTCCAAATGTGGGAGGGAGTCTAGGAGATTTTATTGCATTTTATGAAATAATAAAATAGTAAATTGCCCACCTAGTAAAAAGTCTGATTTTCCTAGTCAAATGGGAGCAATTGGTCCATAGGATTTGGAAAGTCTTTAAACAGTGGTGAAAAAAAAAGAAACAAAAACACAGACGTGCTGTTTAGTTCCTTTTTGATTTAGACATTTGAGAAAGGAGGTTAATGTTTTTGTATTCCAAAAAACAAAGAAGGTGGTTGAGATTCTTAATTAGAGAGGATATATTATTTTGAAATATGTTATTTTGAAAGGAGGAAGTTTCGGTAAGGGCAAGGCTTAATTCAGCCAACACTTCAAAACCCTGCCTGAAAACTATGATCTACCACTCGAAAATAGAATGATGCCATGCAAATCCATTTCCACCCCTAATTATACCATTTTAGCTAAAAAAGTATCGAATTGGTGGATATATATCTATATATATATATATATATATATATGAAAAAAAGCTTGGGTGAGCCCACTAGTTCGCAGGACAAAATGAGCCCAATGGTCCAGATTGAATCTGAGCCGATCTGATGATCACGGATGTTCGGTAGTATTTGAATTTTAATTTTTCTTCTATGAATCCAAATCACTTGAAATTTAGGCGTGTATTCTTCTCATCAAGCTGCACATAATAAAAATACAATTCACAAAAACAAAATTGATCAAAATACCCCTGAAACTTTTCGGGGGGATTTTGGACAATTTATTTCATATAAATTTTTTTATATATATATTTTAAATATTCACCTATTTTTAATGTACATAAGCTCCAAATTTCAAGTAGTTCGTGGGAGGCAAGGCACACAGGGGAGTAGG